TAGATTAGATAGATTAGAAGATTAGATAGATTAGATAGATTAGATAGATTAGATAGATTAGATAGATTAGATAGATTAGATAGATAAGATAGATAAGATAGATAAGATAGATAAGATAGATAAGGTAGATAAGGTAGACAAGATAGACAAGATAGACAAGATAGACAAGATAGATAAGATAGATAAGATAGATAAGATAAGATAGATAAGATAGATAAGATAGATAAGATAGATAGATAGATAGATAGATAGATAGATAGATAGATAAATAGATTGATAGATAGATAGATAGGTAGGTAGGTAGGTAGATGGATAGATAGATAGGATAAGACAAGACAAGACAAGATAAGATAAGATAAGATAGATAGATAGATAGATACATAGATAGATAGATAGATAGATAGATCTAATATATATATATAGGATGTTAGCCATATAAACATGACATATGATGATTATAATGGGATGGGGGATGAAATGGGATGGCTAACATCAACATATTTCCAAAACATCGTTCAAATGGGAGATAAATATAAATTCCCATTTATTTTTTTGGATGCTAGCCATGAATGGTTTATTAAACAAGGAATTTAACAATGAAAAATGGTGGTATTTAAGCAACACACATGGTGATTTTAATCTGATTTGTATATGTAATGTGGGTAAAACAATGCCATAAACCACCCATTTGGGAATGGTGAACATACCACCTATTTATGGTGAAATTGGGGATTGTTTATTCTTGATTTATCAACATTAGGATGTTAGCCTATGTTATACGTAGCCATATAAGCCATGAAATTAGAAATCCAGACATAATGGGATGACATATTTGTTGGATTATGGAATATATGGGATGAAATATAGGATGGAACCAGCAAAATAAAGGAAGATATTAATGGGATATACATGGAGGTTTCCTACAATGGTGGTACCCCAATGGCTGGATGGTTTGTTTCATGGAAAATCCCAATCTAACATGGATGATTTAGGGATACACCCATTTTAGGAAACCACCATATAGGATGTTGGCCTATGTTATAGCCATATAAACCATGACATTAAACATGGGATATAGAATGTTGGATGAAATAATAAAGCAGACATAATGGGATGAACTATTTTATTGGATTATGGCTAAACAAAAACCAGACATAATGGCTAACATCCAGTCTTGGTTCATAGGATGTTAGCGTATGTTGTAGCCATATAAACCATGACATATGATGAGGATGAAGTATTTTTTGGATGTGCACCAAATAAAATATATTGAAATATAGGATATGATGAAACATGGATAAAACCAGCAACATATAGCAAGATATATGGGATGAATCATGGGGATGAATCATGGGGATGAATCATGGGGATGAAACTTGATGAACCAACAAAAATCATGGGATGACACATATGTCCTATCACCATTTTGTGGGTACAGCAACCACCTGGTTTTTGAGCAACGGAGTTTTTTACAATTTGTGGTATTTGTGGTTGGCAATAGCTGGGGGCACCTGGAGACATGTAGCCACATTTCGGCAGCTTAAAGTTGGTTGAATGAGTCATACAAAGAGGTGCCCCATACATACACTTCGCCAAGTTAGTTTACAAACACCATTAACTATAGTATACTAGTAGTTATAGTTATAATTCCTCAGTTCGTTAGCCAAGTTGGTTTGCAAACACCATGAACAAAAAAGTAACACTATTTGGTTGTAATTGCCATAAACCATCAAAAACCATCTTCCGACTCCCAAAATTGGTGGCTACAGGATGGGGCCCCCAAGATAGCTAAGTTGGTTTATAAGTGGCTTAACAATGGTTTATGGTAGATATAACTGTAGTTAATGGGGATTATAATGGTTTATAAACCAACTTATAACTATGGGGCCCCATCCTGTAGTAAATTGCCATCACCACCATTGGACCATGCCCAATGGCAATTCTATGAAGGACCACCTTGGACACCGAGGGCGAGTTGCAGGCCTCGAGCATTGGGGAACGTTTGAAGTGGCGCAATTCATGGGCGTTTAGAAAGATCGAAAATCGTAGGGGTAGAAACAATCTGAAGCAACTTAAAAACATGGTTTTGAGTGGATTTTTCATGGACTTCACTTTTCAATGGATCATACTGGATTCTAACTGTTTTGAGTGGGAAAAAAATGGATTTTAATGGGACCAAGGTGATGTCGGACGCTGGAGGCAGCAGATCATGAATTGGAGCAACTCCAAGACTGAGTGGCATTACTGCAATATATATATATAGATGTTATATGTAGAATATAGAACACAATACATACATACATACCTACCTACATACCTACATACCTACATACCTACATACCTACATACCTACATACCTACATACCTGCATACCTGCATACCTGCATACCTACATACATACATACCTACATACCTACATACCTACATACCTACATACCTGCATACCTGCATACCTGCATACCTACATACATACATACATACCTACATACCTACGTACCTACATACCTACATACCTACATACCTACATACCTACATACCTGCATACCTGCATACCTGCATACATACATACCTACCTACATACCTACATACCTACATACCTACATACCTACATACCTACATACCTACATACCTGCATACCTGCATACCTGCATACCTACATACATACATACCTACATACCTACATACCTACATACCTACATACCTGCATACCTGCATACCTGCATACCTACATACATACATACATACCTACATACCTACGTACCTACATACCTACATACCTACATACCTACATACCTACATACCTGCATACCTGCATACCTGCATACCTACATACCTACATACCTACATACCTACATACCTACATACCTACATACCTACCTACCTACATACCTACCCACATACATACATACCTACCTACATACCTACATACCTACATACCTACATACCTACATACCTACCTACATACATACCTACCTACATACATACCTACCTACCTACCTACATACATACCTACCTACCTACATACATACATACATACATACATACATGTGTATATTGAAATAATTACAATACAATATCAACATATATATATATACACATACTTACACAATATAAATGTATACACTAGCCAGCGGGGCCAATAAGCCCACTTAGCTAACTATGGGGCCCCATTTTGTAGACATATCAAACTAGTTCCCATCCCAGGGTGTAGCCCTCCAGCCTCCTCAAAAATGCCAACGGCGTGTCTGAAAATTGGGTAATGATACAGCGGCAATAACTATTTTATTGGAGAACATGATGAGAAGCCATGGGTTTTGGGGGTGCCTGAATTTTGAGAGGAAGATGGGCCCTGATGCTTCAATACATAGCTAAGGGTGGATGAACGTGGCCAATTCCAGCTCCCAAACTCACCTAACCACACCCTGCTCCTAAAAGTGTCTACACTCTGGCTGTCTCATGCGTAAAGAGTTGCTGGACCACTTTGATGCAGGTAGACTACGATGATTTTTGTCGTGTCACCGGGTGCGGCTCTCAATCACGGTCCGTTTTGGTGATGGATAGCAACCCAAAAAGATCGAAAAGTGATACTGTAACTTACAGTGACTTACTTTTACTTTTACATTTACTTTTCCAATTTTTGTGGGAACTAAAGGAAGTTTTCATAGGCTGCGAGATCGAAAAGCCGAGCTTTCGGGACAATGGGGACCGTCTCCGAGAAGGAGAAGGAGGAAAAACTCCCCCATTTGGTGGACCTAAAAGTGGTGTTCGAAGTAGCTGCTTATCGGATTCTAGGACCGATGTGTATGATGTGTATGGTGACAAGATAGAAAACAACACGTGAAAACAAAACACCACTGTCAGGTAAAGAAAACAGATAAGGAATCGTACTTGGGAGGCTTTTGATATGATGTTACCCAACGATGATCGACGCGAGGACCTGGAAATGGGTGGGCGACATCAACGCACTCTTTGGCGGTGATGGTGCCAGGGGGCCCATGGTGCAACGGATGTGCTGCTGTGGGATGACGTGAAAGAAGCTTAGGGATAGCCTCTGGTTATGACTAACAGTTTGCGAACTTGAAAATGGCCGAGTCGAAATCGTTGATTTAGCCATTCAAAATTGCCATTTTCAAGTTCGCAAACTGTAAACGTTTACCAGAGGATACCCTCCGGTAACCCTGCCATAGCATCCCATGGCGGCTGGAAAATCATCTCAAATCCCATTTGATGATGCGCTTATAGATCTTACCCTCTGGTGAACTAACATAGCTATTGAAAATGGCCATAGAAATAGTGGATTTTCCCATTAAAAATGGTGATTTCCCATTGCTATGTTAGTTTACCAGAGGGTATCTGATTTTTTTTAACCAATTTATAGCTATTTAGATATTACCATCTGGTTATGACTAACATAGCCATGGAAAATCACCATGCTATTAATAGGTAAACCATCTATTTCGATTAGGGCCATCTATACCATGGCGAACTGTTAGTCATAACCAGAGGGTATCTCATGACACCCCAAGAGAGAATCTGTCCAGCACTCGGCGCCCAAAAGCACAGTCGCGGCGCCAAGGACCTCGACCATTTGCAGCTCAGTGAAATTGCTCCAAAGGAGGGTCCGGCAGCCCAAAAGCAGCCCCTTTTTATGGTTGGTTAGGCACAGTCTATGGTGACTAATTAGCCATGTTCCAAAAATGGGGTATGCCTATGCCCGGTCTATCCCAGTATGCTTTCCGAAATTGCTCATTATTCTATAGGGAAACATGATGCCCAACCACGGGATTTTGGGAGGTTCCACAAATGTTCCGCCAAAAGCCATGTGCTTCAAGGTATGTTTTTTTTCTCAAGGGTCGTGGAAACGTTAGAAAAAACAAGCCTTAAAGACACAGCGGAGGCATTGGGGAGACCCGCATCGGCCCAGTACAGCTTTTTTGAGCACCCTTAAACCAAATTCCCACCATAGACTTCCCGCGTAAATGCCATATACCCTCTGGTAATTTAACATAGCTATTGAAAATGGCCATAGAAATAGTGAGTTTTTCCATTGAAAATGGTGATTTTCAATAGCCATGTTAGTCATTACCAGAGGGTATCATTAATGTTGTCTTGGTATGATCATTGAATCTGCATAGCCTCCGGTGAGTTCACACTTTGCGACGTGGAATCCATATCACCCTGTGCAGTTACTAGTTACTAGGTGAAGCATCTACAAATAGGCAAAATTCTCCATACCTGGCAACGTCCCTGAGGCAAACTGATGACCAATTTCATGCCAGGGTCTCAGCATGGTGTGGATGGTGTGATGTAGTTTTCACCTGCAAACATGCGGGGGTTGGCCGAATTTGAAATGGGGGTTGCAGTTTCAAGAATTTTGGGCAAAGATGTTCTTTTCACACTCGTTTGTTGATGAACCAAGGGTCACACAAACTTGTGATGTTTCACGCCTCCAGTAGGTAAATGTAATGATATTAAATGATGATGATGATACAATTAACGATCCTTTCATTTGTCACCAAAAGACATCATTCACCAAAGGGCATCATTGAAACTAATCACATTCCCAGTGAATTTGCATTGCCAGGTTTGAATACCAAAGGCTGATGACATTACCCTCCTCTAATCCATTGCTATCCAAGTGTGTGCAATCATTTTCTCATCAAACTTGACATGCACTTGGGAATTAATATGAACTAATCCCCCATTTGCCCACATTTTCCCATTAGCGTGGCCATTTTTTTGGGGTTCATCATAATCATACCCATTAAACTTCCCCTGTCAAACCCTATCTTCATCATATTCCCATAGTTTTCCCAGCATCACTCCGGATAGGTCTTGTATGATCTTGTGCTTGAAAAAAGGCCCATGCATCCGATGCATCCGATGCCAGGAAATGGATCAAGGAGGAATTTGGCTCACCTGCTGGATTTTTCAGCGCGCTGGATGCCAACAAGAAAGGGAAGGCCCGGGCCGCCTCGAGGTGGTGGATGAGAACTAGAAGATCGTTTTTTTTTTTTTGCGGTCAAGCCATAATTTATAGGCACCATCCCATTCACCAACCGTTTTGGTGTCATCTTACATTGTTTTACATTATTTTTAAATCATTTTACAGCATGTTACAGCATGTTTACAGCATGTTTACATCATTTTCACATTATGTGTGCATCTTTACATCATCGCAGTCATAGGGCCATGTCCAAGAGTGACCCTGTAGATGGTTAGGAGGAAGCGGTGAGCTGTCGTCCATCCTACCTTGGAGGATCGAAAATGATACACAACTCTATAACAAATACCGTTACTATCATCATCATCATCATCATCATCATCATCATCATCATCATCATCATCATCATCATATGTCCTTTATAATACATACATAATATATATATATATATATATATAATATTACTATTATTACTATTCTCATCATCTCTATATTCAAAACGGTGATTTTCGGAGCGTCTCGGGTTCCTCGCTGTTCGGCACGTCAGGTGGCGCGGCACAGCTTCGTGTCCTTCTGCGTGAACCGCAGCTTCAAAGCCTCGGAAAGTCGCTTGGAGCTGGGTTGCCATCGGAACCATCCCCAAAACCCACAGGAAAACCATGGGATAATGGTGGTTTAATGGTGGTTTTGCATGGGAAAACCATAGGAAAACCATAGGAAAACCATAGGAAAACCATAGGAAAACCATAGGAAAACCATAGGAAAATGGAGGTTTACCCTCTGATAATGGTGGTTTAATGATGGTTGAATGGGATAAACAAACCACCAAAAATGGTGATTTTAATGGGTTTTACCCTCTGGTTATGACTAACATAGCCATGGTATATATAGATGGCCCATAGAAATAGATGGCTTACCTATTAAAAATGGTGATTTTCCATGGCTATGTTAAATAACCAGATGGTAATTGATATGCTTCAATACGAACAGCGGGTCTAGTGACTTGGATGATTTGGGGTCCTCCCACTTTAGGAAACCTACACAATACACACACATATAATCACATACAGTAAATACATAAGTATATAATACAGAGGATATGCAAGCCAAAATCGTTTTTTTTCATATCCACTTGGATCAGCTACTAACGAAATCGCTGAGTTTGCTTAGAAAAAAGGGATCTTTGAACCCTCCAAAAACAGATTTGAAGCAAGTGTAATGAGGATGTCAGTGACCCGAAATGTGGATTGAAGATGGTTTAACATCATGATTTAACCAGCCAAACTGCGAAGACTGCCGAAAATTGGGATTGAAGCTGTTGAACTTGGGATTGAAGATGATTTATACAACTTAAGTCTGCAAACGAGGGTTGAAAGGAGGAACCAGATTTCAGCCGTCAAAGAGCACATGGGGACTCCACCTTTCAGGATCTCATCTGAGGCGACATCAATCGCGTCTTCGATTGCATCGACACAGGCGCTCACGTTGACACGTTGTCAGACCTTGTCACGTCGGAGTGGCCAGGCCTTCGGGTAAACCCAACGTGGACTGCATGGGTTTTCTTTACCTCTTGGATCACTGATATTTTAGAGGCTCAATGTTGAGATGAACAATGTTGATCCATTCCAACACATTCAAGAAATGGATCACTGATAAATATCCATAGGGATAAAAACTGTTCATACCCCATGGATATTTTACGGTTTCATAACGTTGGTCCATTCCAACGCGCCATTTTTGGGGCAACAAAAATGGGCGATTGCTGTTCGATCACAGGTGACATTGGATTCATCCTCAAAGAGGTGGGCGGATCGAACTCCGAGGATTTTTTTGCTGGTTGGTGGTTTAGAAAAAATGGTGATTTAATGGTGGTTTAATTGTGGTTTTTCATGGGATTTAACCAACAAAAAGGGTGATTTCTAGATGGGATTTACCCTCTGGTAATTTTATTTTTCCATTACCCCCTGGTAAATTAACAAAGACCCTGAAAATCACAAATTTTTAATGGAAACTAGTCTTCCAACCCCTATCTGCCAGAGTCTATGTTAATTTACCAGAGGGTATATATGGGATGATCCTTGCTATTGACTAATATTTTTCAAGATGGTTATTGCACCACCAACCATTTTTCATTTGTCCATTCAGTTGGGAATGTCATCATCCCAACTGACGAACTTCATCATTTTTCAGAGGGGTAGGGTTGAAACATGTTGAAACCACCAACCAGTTAGAAACGGCTTTTGTGCTGGGCTTATGCTAAAAAAGTATGGTGTAGAAAGCAAGTGAAATTGCCTTTTTCACTGGTGGGCCAGTGGGGGGGCTTTGCCAATCATGGCCAATCCGCAGTGAACAGTGGCTGCAGATGTCTAGATAAGTATTAGCGCACGTCATTTGGTTTTCTCTGAATATTTTGGGTGCCTCCAAATTTGATACTTTATCAATGTTTATCATATAAATTGCCATTTCAATTGTACCCTTTGGTAAGCTAACATAGCGAACTGGAAAATCACCATGCTATTAATAGGTAAATCAACTATTTCCATGGGCCATTTTCCAGTTCGCAATGTGCAAACACGTCACACGCGCGGACACTCTGTCTGTTCGCAATGCCACAGCTTGGCCGTAGACAGATCTGCATCGACCTGGAGAGATGGCCAATGTTTTAGGCCATCCTGCGGTGTGCACACACACACACAAAAAAATTACCCTCTGGTTATGACTAACATAGCCATGGTAGAGATGGCCCATAGAAATAGTTGATTTACCTATTAGAAATGGTGATTTTCCATGGCTGTTAAATAACCAAAGGGTAAATTGATGCCCCTGCACCAACTGATATCAAGGGAAAAGCACCGGCCCACCATCTGGAAATTTAGGCCTTGGTAAGCCTAACCAGCGCACCCAAGTTCGGTGAAGTTGAAGTTGAACGTGTCACGATCTTGCCAGCATCCTGGTTGAGTCAGGTGTGGCATCGGAATCCATTTCTTGCCCTCTGTGGCTAGGAACACTGCAACCTCCAGGAAAGAAAGCTTGCAGATCACAGCGGCTTCATCTTCCCATCGTTTGATCACCTGGAAAAATTCGTCACAAAGATGTGTCCAACAGACCCCAGAAGCGTCACCCAACGGGCATCTTCCAGGTCAGAAAGGCCAACAAAAGGAGAGTGACTCACGGGGCCACGCTCAAGCCACCGTAAGTCATATTGGCCTTCTTCCCCTCCCATTTCATGGCGATCGTCTTGCTGTTGCACCTGTTGTGGTTAAAAGATGTTAATAGCAACTATTTCTATGGGCCATTTTCTATGTCGCAATGTACAAATGTAACAAATTACCAGACATTAAATCATGGTAAATCCCATCTAAAATATCACCATTTTTGTTGCTATATAAACCACCATTAAACCACCATTAAACCACCATTATCAGAGGGTAAACCTCCATTTTCCTATGGTTTTCCTATGGTTTTCCCATGAAAAACCACCATTAAACCACCATTATCCCATGGTTTTCATGTCCCCCATTCTCAGACACCACTGGTGGCCGCGCCGGGGTTCATGGCCGCGCCGAAAAACACCGCTGAAAAAAACATCTATCTCATGGGTCTGTCTGGAAATGGGGTACAGTTCCCAAATAGCAATATATGATATATAGATATATAATGTAATATGTATATATGAAAATATATTATATAATATGATTTAATATTATATAACATATGATGTATATATATATATATATTTAATGTAATATGTACATAGGCTATATAGGTAAATATATTACATGATTTAATATAATATATATATATATGTATAATTATATATTATATATGAGAGCAATGATCAGCCACTTCACGCGTCTTGTCGTCGGTGAGGATTGTATCTTTCTGGAGGTAGACCCAGCCATTCGATACGAAGAGCCCTTTGGATGGATTGGAGCTGGCAGTCTGGCAATGAAACATAGCCATTAAAAATAGCAATGTTTGATAGGAATGAATCATCTAGAAATGAGATGAAATAAGGACATGTCCATTGGGATGTTAAATTCACAGAGGGACTGAGGCTTATATTCAATATCAGGAGGATGGGATCAGTTTTGTTCCGATCTCTCTCCCTCTCCTTCTGCAACACAGGCGCACACACACACAATTATGAATTGTACAAATAGGTGCCGTATTTGCGTACTGGAAATCGATATTGATAGAACCCCCCCCAAAAATGCAATAGCAACATCCTACCAAAATACTGACAAATGTCTTTTCTATTTTGTTTTGCTCTATATATGCATACATACGTGCATAAATGCATACATACACCCATACATACATCCATACATACATCCATACATATGCACACATGTACCACCCTTTGGTTTTCAAGCGGCATGTATAAGCTAGTGATGGCTGCCAGATAACACATGTCCATCATGCCAATGTGACCCAAGTTATTATCTATAGAGAGCTTCGCTCAGAAAGATGGGAAGAAAACTCAGAAAGATGATTATGAAAGGGGTTGGTAAACAGGACATACATTTTGGATTTGAAACGCACATGTCCATAGAGCTTGTGAATATTGGGCATATATATATATGTATATATATATATGTATATATATATATTTATAGATGCATATATATATATATGATATATTAATCTGTGATCATCTATGTGTACATATATGTTACTATCGATTGCAGACCATGCATTTTGGCCAAGTCTTTCTGAGGCGACAACGCGGTGGTGTCGTCAAGGTCTGGTTGGGACTGGGGTTTGATGAAGGGAACACAGCATTCTACCCCTATGTTGGGAGGTAAAAAAGCCACGGTTTCCTGTTATTTTGGGATATTTTAAGCATTTAGCCATGAAATTGTGAGAAAACTGCTTTTATTTGTTGGGAATTTTAAACCAACGTCACGTCTGGTTATGTTGGGTGGCTGGCTCAACAACTTTATAACATTCCTCAATTCCCAACAAATGGGTCGACCCGTCCCAACAAATGTGTAGACGGTCCAAACATGACTTTCTTATTTTTCCAGGGCTCAATGGAAATCAGCTAGATGCCCTCTTGACATTTCATATAGAACCTGAGAATAATAAAGATCCAGTCACTTCTCCAGGTATAGAAATATCTAAGGATGCCGGATATATATATATATATAGATATATAGATAGATAGATAGATAGATAGATAGATAGGATGTTCATATATCACATCGCATCCTGCTGAAAATGCTGATTTTCACATCCTGGCAAATCAAACACGAGGCACCGAGCCTCGGGGGGGTTCCCCAGACATCCCCAGACCCACTTGCGTGTGTCGCAGGTGATGGACATGTTTCTGTTGGGATGCTGATAAACCATGACAAAGCCATGGATAAAGCATGGATAAACCATGAGATTTGATGGATTTTTTTTTTTGTGCCGATTTTTCGGACAAGCAAAAGAACTTACCTCATTTTTTAAAGGGTTCCCAGCAGTCCCATTCTGCGAAGAACAAATGCCCTGCAGGAGTGGAAAGACCAGGCGGCCCTAGAATTCCTTCAGAACGCCGCTGGACTCAGTTATTTGGGGGGTAGAATAGCACATGGGCAACATAGCAAGACAACAATACCATCTAATCTTGAATTTTAGGGTGTGTATGTAGTTCCTTAGCTGATGGACCTTGTCTAGTTATTACTTGGCATGATTTTAATGTCTGTTTAATGTTCATTTGATATAGAGTACTGTAGCCTCGATAGAACCAAGAATATATAGGGATGGGGGGTATACGACAACCAGTTTATGCGATATTATTATGCATTATGATGTATATTTTTGGTGGGGATATGTAATATATGGAGATATAGGTGTGTGTATATATATAGTATAAAAGCAACAATAGGGTTTTTGGGGGTGTCTGAAAACGGGGCATGCAGCCCCTAACATGGTATCTGTAAGTGGGTCGGTTTCAATAACCGATAAAGTCCATTGGCTTTTATGATACATTTCTCAGACAAAGCTATACGCAGAGACTACCGTTAGGGCTGCTGGAAGGGGTCGGGTAATCAAGAAACATTGAAAGAGATGGTGAGATGCAACCGGTCACGTGGAGAATGTGGTCCAACGATGTAAAACATGTAAAACAGCCAGATACAGCCAGAAAGAACCAGTGCGCTCAATCTCTTCGGAGACCAGCAATCTGAGGAGCACAAAATGGGGATGCTGATCAAGATCAAGTACCCTCTGGTTATTTATAGATAATTTTCCCATTAAAACCTCCATTTATGAGGGATTTTCCATGGCTATGTTAAATAACCAGATGGTAGATTTTTAAGGTAGCTGGACCAGTCAGATGGTTCTATCATGTTCCATCCTGGAAGCTACACCCCAGCATCCTCCCAGCCTTAAGGGTGACCCCAGCCTGACTTAATGGGGCTGATTTCACGCGAACGCTGTGTTTTGAAACAACCAGAGGTTGGTGATAGAACACCAGGTACGGTGATTCTTGGTAGGCAAAGCCTAGTTCAACTTGTTTTCTTAGGCTTACAAGACCATTGTTTTTGGCATTCAAAGGCCCAGTTTCCCTGGCCTTGGCATTGCAAACACAAGTGACCCCGGTTGAAAGGACAATTGCCACTAGAAACATCGACATTTGATGGGAAAGCAAGGATAAACGCATGCATATAAAATGTAAACACATGCATATCGTATTGCCCGGATTTTATCATCTAATTGATCTACATATCGACCTGAATGGTTTTACCATGTTTTACCAGTAGAATGACATCCATGTAGATATGTACCATCAGATCTACCATGGTTCTTGCAATGACATCCATAGTTTTTGGGGTCATAAATCCCCAGAAACCCCGGTCGGTATCCACGGTGGATTTCGCCAAGGCCAAGACGGGGATTCGGGGCCTACCTGGCGATTGTAGCCGCCCGGATGGGAAGCTCTGTATATATATATAACAGATATACATTATATATATATGCATAATATATGCATATATATATATACAAAACACACACACACATATATATATATACACATACATATATGTATATGTAATATATATATATATATGCGTGTGTGTGTGTGTGTGCATGCCCATGCACTTATATATATATGTTATGTTCATACACTTACCACAAACATCATTTTCCCAGTGAACGTAAGAATTTTCCAGCGCCAGCGCCTTGTTTCCCCTAGAATTTGCCAGTTGAGTCAGGGGTGGGGTTAAATACCCAGGTATCAAGGCATGTAAGCAGGGGCAGACATTGTAGACACTGAGTTTGCGCATCTTGGGAGTGCTCAACTTTGTTATTTTTCACGCTAGTTACCTAGGTTGGACCCCGACAATTGATAACGTGTACATTTACGTATAAACTTCATTTATATCATTCAAATCATTATTGGAAGTCACATGTTCAACAATCATACGTGTAAACGTTTGTAAACCAGATTATGCATGCAGTTTTTTACATCAGCGGCAAGTCCCATCTACTGGCAGTCCTGGATGCTGAACAAAATAAACTGGTGACATTTGATGCCCACTTCATGGTGGTCCCGGAGAATCTGTTGCTTCGGATCCCCATGGCGAGCCACGAATCACGAAACGCCGCGAAACGCCGCGAGCCATGAATTAGAGCAGAAAACTGGTTGAAACTGAAACAAAACAACTACAAAACAACTGCAGTAGGTCAAAATCTACAAGCCCAGTATTTTGTTTTGGGAACATCCATAAATCCCAACTCAAAATTGAGGTGAACAGAAGGCTACCAGACCAAATCTACCAATTTTTGACACCCACAACCATATGTAAAAAACATGACACAAGAAACATGGCGACCCTCCGGTAAACTAACACAACTTACATGGTTTCCACCAAAATCATGTCATTTCCGAAGGGTTCCCCCCCCATGTCCCCGACAGCGCTGGATCAAAGGTATTGCCTTGCCGGACCGACATCGATTGGCCCCTAGACCTTGGCAGGTGGGTTGTTCAACATCTGTCATATCATGTCACATATTTAGTGATTGTTGTACAGAAAGTATTTATATAAATTGTTTACACAAACTATAGGCTATTTTTTTGCAAACCTATTTTGACACACAGCTGTTTTCACAAATCTGCACCAACTCATTGTGAGTATGAGTAAACCTTGGTGTGTTAACTGTTCACCCAGGAGTACTTAACCGCTGGTTTATTGAAAGGGGGCTTCCATATCAGATAGCAACTTTTATAGGATATCTCTGTCAACATCTGTCAACTACAACTGTGACGTCACTTGCATGATGGTTATTATATGTTATTAGCAGGGGTAACTATCCCAAATTAGCCTTATTTCAGATTACAGAATTAGGGAACATGTATTTTTGCTATCTATCCTCGCATTTCTAGGAGCAATGCAAGGGACCGGAAAAAAAAGGATCTACACGGAGAGATCACGGAGCACGAGGGCCCCCAAAAAAGGTAAAGAACCAAATCCAGGATGGTATAGATATGTATAGATGATAACTGCATCTATCTATTTATGTTTCACTTCATAATTCCATATGGTTTCCAACTTTTCCAACAGGCTGGAGCTTTTGAGCAGATCCCCATGGTGGTGTGCCAGCGGCGTAGGGGACCCAGGGCAATGGCAGGTGGGGTTTTCTTTTTTTGATCTGGGTCAAAAAAAACATGTTACCCTCTGGTAAACTAACATAGCTATTGAAAATGGCAATTTATAGTGAGTTTTCTCATCAAAAATGGTGATTTTCCATAGTTACGTTAGTTTACCAGAGGGTAAGTTTCTGTCATAAAACAACATTTTGACCCATACCCGTCTAATTATGGAAAGTCAATTGCACTGAGCAGTTTTGTCTCTAGAACAGGTTTTGAAAGCTCAAATTTAAACGGCATGTGGTACTGCAAAATTGGTGGAGAACAATATAATTATCGCATATTAAAGCCATTGAATCTATGTCTATCACCAGCAGGAAGTGGGTGTTTGTTTGCATGGATTCTCTAGTCATTCTCAGTTAGTGCGCCATCCCATTTTCAACTGGCCTAGGTTTCACCACCGTCCATATGCCTCCAGCTTATTCATTCTAGAATCGCTCTTCCCTCTTGAACGATCTTCCCCTGGGGAAGATATTCTACTGGGTTTTATTGCCTCGGCCGTTGCAAGGGCTTTGCTTGGCAAAATTCCGATTCTCTTTGGTGGCATCCAAGTGTAGATTGCTTAAAACCCCATGTTGATTAGTGATGATTAGTGTAAATTGCTCATATCCCTATGTTGATTAGTAACATTTTCGTACATTTGCTGCATTTACTGTCAATTCTAGGCATCCCCCAACTGGGTTTTGGCTCGCAACCCACACATATCAAGGCCGTTCCAAAGCTCGGTCAACCGAGGTCAGGAAAGGGAGCGGGAAGCCCGTTACAAACAAAAATTCGCGTGCGGAAGCCCTGGAAGCCCTGGAAGCCCTGGAAGCCCTGGAAGCGGCGTGGAAAGTGGCCTGGGCACTGGCACGGCTTGGACTATCTTAAGACTCATCAGGATGTCTTAAGAATGGATATGAATGGATATATGATGATATATGATGATAATATATATATATAATTATATATATATATAATTATATAAATATACAATTATATATATAATTATATTTATGTATATTATACTTAATTATATTTATGTATATTATTATACACACACATGTATATATATATATCAAACTAGAAACGAAAGTAACACTGTGAAGCCAGAAAAAGAACATAAAAGAACCAGGCTCCTCAGGCTGTTGGCTGTTTGGTACTTTCGGTCACTTGGTCATTTCATATTGTTAAGGGAACAACCAGAGTCAACCAAGGCCCCAAAATCCCGGGTTGACATTGCAGGATGTGGCAGACCCAATAATTCGCCATCCAACCTTGGACCTTTACCCAATTTGGGCGTATTTATTGAAAGTACTAGGAACCACACCCTAAACTGGAGGGGGGTAAACTATGGTAAACTAACATAAATGTGGAAAACCAATGGTTTCCCTATGAAAATGATTTGCAAATGGATGTTTTTCCACAAAACATGTCAGTTTACCCTAGGGTACAGATCATTGCCGTTTCCCAAATTATTGTTTTTTCCCGACTCATACTGTAAATTTTGCCAATTGGTGATAGGACATGTTGATACACATTTGTAACAGTTTCCCCAATGATGTTCAGCCATCCTCAAGAAGCATAAGATTGCCATAAGTGCGGCTACTAGCCCAATTATGACCTTTTCCCAACATTATGACATTATACCCAACTTCCCAACATTATACCCAACATTGATGACCTTTTCCCAACATTATACCCAACTTACTACTTTTTCCATCGGTTTCCACCCGTTTCAAGCCATTTGGCAGTGCCAAACACGCCAAACCCTTCTGTGATCAACCATCCCAGGATTTGCTCACGGGATTTGGAGGATATAACCAGTTGGGAACTGGTTATAGGAACCATGTAATGTATAGATGATTATAGAATATGATACTATGATATAGTTTATAAAATTATAGTAACCATAATTTGTCCATGTATTCTAGATGACTTAAATTAATGGTAAACCTAACCAGTTGGGTTCAAAAACGAGGCGTGCCACGTTTTTGCGCCAACTGCGCACGGCCTACGGCAATGAGGCGAGCGGGCAGGACTTGACCAATTGGGGTCGTTGGCAGAGTCCCAAAATATTACCCTCTGGTGAACTAACAGTTTGCAATGGAAAATGGCTATAGAAATAGTGGATTTTCCCATTAATAGCATGGTGATTTTCCATTGCTATGTTAGTTCACCAGAGGGTATACAAGGTGGGGCCCCCGGCCATGATAGCTAAGTTGGTGCACATAACTCCAATTTCACTATGGTTCATGGTACGCAAATAACTATAGTATTCATGGGGTGAATCTAAACTAACATCACTGGGGGGCCCCACCTTGTATAATACTCGTATTGGGGGATGGTCTTTTTAATCCATGAGGGATTCATATATACACCTATGATGTTGGGATTCCCATGGCATGGGATGGATGAACAACCATTGAACAACCAAATATAGCCTCTGGTAATTTGTTACAGTTCCCTATTGAACATGGCCCATAGAAATAGTTGATTTACCTCTTAAAGGTGATGATTTTCCATAGCCAAATTGTTGGTTTACCAGAGGCTAGCCATTTTAATGGGTACCTGATGGGAGAAGTGTTGACAAACCATGGGCTCTGGATGAGTTTTTTTTCGCCCGGCAGGTAAGGGGAATCACCCCCGGCAGCGGCCTTATTTTAGGCTAGCGGCTAGTGAACTCTTGCAATTCTTCCAAAACACATTTTTTTTAAAGGAGGATCTATACAATCTATATATATATATATCCTAATTATTTTCAGACACGGCGCCTATTTTTTTTCAACACTGCCTTGCAACGTGGTATTCATCTACTGGACAAGCCTGTTCCAGTCTTTTGGAGCGTTCTTTGCAAGTCAATGTTGAGGTAGCTATGACTATGACTGGTTGATTTGCGGCAGTGGATCTAACTGCGTTGCAATTTCAAGAATTTGCATGGAAACATGACTTCAGCATACAAGGGTACCATGATAGTGTTGTAGTATTGTATATATACTTCATATTCATACACTGGTTGGTGGTTTGGAACATTTTTTGTTTTTCTATATCATCCCAACTGACTTTCATATTTTCAGAGGGGTAGGTATACCACCAACCAGTGGTGTTTGTAGTGCTCCTTGTTTCCTTCCGTCGACGTTCAATCCCCGAAGAATCGTTACGATCTCATCAATTTCTGGTTTGTTACTGCTAAACTGTTTGATGGTACAAAAGCATAGGTAATCAAACAACAAAATCTCATGGTATCATAAATTTTGATGGTACGGTAACATTCAAAGCATCTTTCAAAATACAAATATATATATATAATACAAAATCAAGGAAATAAGAGCTATGAAAACATCTGAAACAATGGAACACCTGTGCCCGACTTGGCGTTGTCCATGGCGAAAATTCACCGTCTTTCCATTGCGGAACTTCCGAGCAACGGTCGTCGTTGGTCCTTCGGCGGAGGTTCGAGGCCTCCGACGTGACGTGAATCCGGACGGTGTGGCACTCGGCGGCCCGGAATCTTCCCTATATAGGAAAAACCATAGGAAAACCATAGGAAAATGGGAAAATCATAGAAAAACCATAGGAACATGGAGGTTTAGCCTCTTGTAAACATACAAACAACTATGGAAAATTCCAAGGAAAACTCATACAGGATGGGGCCCTCTAGTTATGTTTGTTGGCTGATAAGCCCTTCCAAATATAGTTATAAGATGTTATAAGTATCATACACTATGGTTATTATAGTTATTTGCACCAACTTAGCTAACGAACTGGGGCCCCATCCTGTAGAATATGTTGCCATATTGGGATTATTCTATATATACAGATGGAATTACATTAATTAATGGCCGTTAACATGCCTATTCCAATATGTAGAATAATGGTTCTCAAAAATTGAATATATATATATATATAATATATTAATGGAATTATTTTGGAGTTAGCATATTTCCAAAAGGATATCTTTCATCTTTGGGAGTTTTGGAGGTTGCAAAAACATGGAGCTTTTAATGGGAAAGGAATTGTCCACTGCCATGTTTCATCATTCTTTTTTATATGAATTCAAACGCACTATATGAATATTTCACTGGGGAGTTAGGATGGCGACAGCATTGAATTGGGAATGTTAAAAAAACAAACGCACCTAATATTTGTGACAAAATGGTGATTTCACTGGGGATAGCCATACAACTTCATTTGTTAAACTTTTCCTCCAAGAGTTTTCCCAACCACATGGATCCTGCTGGCTTTTTGTATATTTTTGTTGAGGTTTCCTATTGAAATCACGAAAGTCTTTAATTTTTCCCTAACTGCTTGCCATCTTTGGGGTATAATATACAACCAACAAAATGGATCAGTAATATGTTGGCTTATCCTGCGGTATCGGGTGGTGTAACCAGCAAAGATAGTAGAGTAGTAATGGGAAGCAGTGGGAGCTATGAATTGAGTTTCGAAAAACCACATGGCCACTGTGTTTCTTTGTTGTTTGTTCTTCGGTTTTGATTTTGCAACCATTGAGTTTTCTTGCTATGATTCTTTTTGTTTTTGAGATGATAATTAGGTTTTGTTTCAGCTTTTGGTTCCGGAGTTTTCATCCGATTGAAAATCCAATTCCAAAATTATATATATAGAGGGTTTTAGGAAAATGCAACGCTCAAATCAAGCACATCCATCAATCCTGACTTCAAGTGCCCACGTCAGGTCATACTGCCACCCTGCCGGGGAGCTCAACTGATGGATTTCGCAAGCACAGTATGATTGTTGCAGTTACATACTCAATTATGACATCCACTTACTGGCACCCTCAAGTAGACACGATGACATCTATACACATGACATGTTTTCTTGCTTTGCAGCGCGTTTTTCACTCGTTCACTTGTTTTTTTGCATTGTCCGCTTGCTTTTTGTTTGAGGTTGACACCTCAGATCGGAACTTTCGGGAGTCTTATTGATGTTACCATATATTACCACGTCCAGGCAGAATAGATGAATAGAATCTGAATGAGAACATGATATTTGTTTGGCTCCCCGCTTGGTGAAACATCTTAAAAGGTGCTGGTTTTAACCCGGGAATTGTTGCTAAAGGGGATCATGGAGGTTATATATATGGTGGCGACCAGCATCGTGGATAAACGCATATGTGTTGGTATGTGTAACTCGTCTCCCTGTTGCATACTCCCCAGAAGCCTCGGCCCCCGGTTACTTGGACGACCAAGTAGAAACTGGTTATACTGAGTAATGACCTTAGTTTCTAAAGATATCTAACTCCAGTTACTAAGTGTTCTAAAATGATAATTTCCCTATAATTCCACTGAATTTCGAATACTCTCTGGTATAAATTAACATAGCTATTGAAAATGGCCCAGTCGAAATAGTTGATTTACCCATTAAAAATGGTGATTTTCCATCGTTTTTGTATGTTTACCAGAGGGTACTTTTGAA